GAGTCTGGGAAATAGGCTTGAGGACTGTGTCCATATAATTGATTATTTTGGGAGAGAGAGAGAAAGAGAGTACAGTGGGTGCTTTCTTTGCACGTGGCCCACCCAGGTTTGATCCCTCGCATCCCATATGGTTCTCCAAGCACCGCCAGGAGTGATTCCTGAATGAAAGGCCAGGAGTAAGTCCAGAGCACCTCTGATTATGGCCCCAACACAACAACAGCATGATAGTTTTATCTGTTGGTTCTGTGGTGATTAATGAGAACTTAGATATGAGCATATTCTTTCTTCTTCCACCTTTGTGATTTAATGAAAAATAGATATTTTTAGAGATCCAGTGTGCCTCATTATTTTGAAGACAGGCAAAGAAATGTCCTCGTGTACATAAAATCTTCTCTTGTAAGTTTTCTTGAAGAAAAGGATATTTAGGGGGCTGGAGTGATAGCACAGCGGGTAGGGTATTTGCCTTGCACACGGCTGACCCGGGTTCGATTCCCAGCATTCCATATGGTCCGCTGAGCACCACCAGGAGTAATTCCTGAGTGCAGGACCAGGAGTAACCCCTGTGCATAGCCGGGTGTGACCCAAAAAGAAAAAAAAAAAAAAGGAAAAAAAAAAGAAAGAAAAGGATATTTAATTCCGTAGCATGTCACTGTGTACCTTTTAACTGTGGAGAATCTGCTGGTTCAGAGTGTACCAGCGTGCTAGAGTTCCCACGAATTGGACCTAATGTGGTAGGAGTTTTTAATAAAGATTTGATAAACTGTGTGAGGTCATTATAGTTACTGTATGGAATTCATTACATGTACCTAGTTGTGGTTCTTCAAATTTAGGATCCGACATTTTATCCATCACGAGTTTACATAGAATTTATTTTTTATAAAGGAACTTATATTCTGAGTCAGAGAGCTAGCTTACATGGCTGGAACACATGTTTTGCATGCAGGAGGCCCAGGTTTGACCCCCAGTACTGCATGGGCAGAGCGGGAAGAAGCCCCAGAGCAATGCCAAGGGCGGCTCAAAAACAAAAAAGGTAAAAGGCTGTTTCCCTAGTTAGTGGATAGTCATGGTTTAGCTGTTTCTTTTTTCTGTCCTCTCTAGTAATGTTTCTGGGTTTTTTTTTTCTTTTTTGCATGAGAAGCAGGATTTATAGGGGTGAGAAAGGAAGGGGAGCAAGGACTCAGAGGGACAGCCCCTGGGGTCCTGGGATTGTGAAAGCCACCATTTGTCCTGGCAGAGCTGAATCACTATGCCATATTCCCCGCCCATATTGATTCCTGAAGTAATAAAATATGTCCAAGTTGTAAAGCACAGTGCAAACATTTTATATAGGGGTCATAGAAAATTCAGTACCCAAGTATCATGACTTGTCATTGCTGAACTGGGTAGAAGTGATATGGAGAATTCTTTTGTTGTTGGTTTCTTTTGTGGGTGACGCATTTCGCCGTGCTCTGGGCTTACTCCTGGCTCTGTGCTCGGGGGGGCCAGATATTTAACTTGGTTCATGCACATTCAAGGCAGGTACTGTGCCTGCTGTACTCTCAGTCATACCCCATATGTCAAAATTCTGTACCTTTTTTTCCCTGCGTATAAATTGTCTTTTTAAATTTTTTTTCTCATCCTCTTAAAAGCCCTTGCTCTGCTTAAGTAATATAGCCCTCCTAAATGGAGAGGGAGATTTCTTATTTTTATTTTGTAAGAAGTGGGAAAAAAAGGTGGGCTGGAAAGATAGTACAGCAGGTAGGTTGCTTGCCTTGCACATAGCTGACTCAGATAGACCCCCGACATCCTATATGATCCCCCAAGAGAAAAGAAGTAGAAATAAAGTTGATTGAAAAGGACTGATCCCTAAGAGGGAGATTTCTGTGTCTTGCCAGTGCTTATAAATTTTTCTTTTTTACACTTTGCTTATAAATTAATGGAGGAGCACAATTAAGTTAACTTGTAGTGTAACACTATTATTTATCAAGAGAGTTAAATAAGGGACTGAAGTTGACATTTTCATTTGTGACTTAAACAACATTGGAATGTTATACAAAGGATTACTCTCATCCCCTCCCTCCCCCCCTTTTTTGGGTCACACCCGACAATGCACAGGGGTTATTCCTGACTCATGCACTCAGGAATTACTCCTGGAGGTGGTCGGGGGACCATATGGGATACTGGGAATCAAACCCAGGTTGGGTGCAAACTCCCTACCCACTGTGCTATCGCTCCAGCCCCAGTTACTCTCATTTCTTGGGATTACAAGTTAGAGGGAAAGATTTTGGCTTTCTAAATGGCCAACCTGTTTGAGAAGTCATTTCAGAAATCCCCTACCTAAAATAATCCTTCAGAATTAACGTAGCATTGTCACTGGTCCCAGTTTACCTTAGTTAGACCAGAGAGCCAGTAGTAATGGGTTGTGAATTTGGGATAATGTGTGACCCAGAGCCTTGTGGAAAGAAAGAGGGCCTAAGAATAGCCTTCTGTTCAATTTGCTTCTCTCTCTGTTTACTCCAGGTCTGTAGTTTACATCATTAAATTTTAGAAAGATTTAAATCTGGCACTCTCCGCACACATGAAGGTACTGGCAGAGGGACAAAGCCACACGGGTTCCGGGGCCGAGATCTCCAAGCCTACTCGGACTGGAGTCGAGCATCTGGGCCAGAGAGAGAACTTAATGATATGGCACGTGCTTTGCATGCAGGAGGCCTATGTTTTAATGCCGGACACCACACGATGATCACAAAACACAGATCCAGGACTAAGCCCTGAGCATCACACACACACACACACACACACACACACTACAGTTAATCTTCATTTTTTAAACACCGGAATTTTTTGCAGGGGGAGGTGGGGCAGGAGGTCATGCCCAGTAATGCTCAGGGCCTACTCCTGGATCTGTCCTCAGGGGTCACTCCTGGTAGTGCCATGGGACCATACGGGGTGCTGAGGATCACAGTAGGTTGGGCTTCATGCAAGGCAAGAGCCTACCCTCTGTACTCTTTCTCTTGCCCCTGCACCTCATTCTGTGTAGCCGTTTTTTTGTTTTGTTTTGTTTACAAATTATGTTCAATGTAATTGATTACCTTTTGGGGGCTTAGAGTGGCTTCCTTTTTTATAGAGATAGCTGTCAATCATATAAAAATAATATTTTTATAGTGTGACTTTTTGATGTTTTCTGTTGGGGTCACCCCTCGCAGTGCTCATTGCTTACTCCTGGCTCTGTAGTCAGGGATTGCTTCTGGCAGGGCTCCAGTGACAAATCATATGATTCGATTCTTTATAATTCTTAGAACTACTTTTTGAAGGCAAGCACTATTGTTATTTTATGTTACAGATAGGGAAGCTGAGGCAGGAGAGATGTGGTAAGTGGCCTGAGTTTTACTTGTTGTTTGGGAGGACTGGAATCTGACCCTTTGCAGATTGACTTCAAAGCCTGCAGTCTGTTTTGAGGGTGGGCAGAGGGGTGGCTCCTTTTGGTAGTACCTGGCTAAACTGGGGGAATGAAGTGAGAGGCTACTTCCAGCTCTGTGCTCAGGGCAGTGCTTAGGGACAGGTGGTGCCAGGCATCCATCAAGGGACTCCCAACAAAGCCTGTTGGGCTCTCTCGCTGGACCTGTTCAAGGTTTTTGAAGCTGGACATAACCTTTGGTAGAAAGGGGAGGCAACACAAAACTGAAACGGTTCATCGGGCTGGAGAGATAATAAAGCAGGTAGGACACTTGCTTTGCACACAGCCAACCCAGGTTTGATCCCAAGCCCAACAGCAGTGATCCCTAAGGATAGAGTCAGGAGTAAGTCCTGGACGCTGCTAGGTGTGGTCCAGAAAAAAAGAATAACTGGAGTAGTTCAACTGCTGTAGGTTATATATAGTATTCTTCGGGTTTCTTCTGCATAAGATTTTCTTTGAGAAATGGTATCCTGCAGCTTTAATAACAACAACAACAAATATTTCAGGGTCTGGAGCCACAGCGGGTAGGGCACTTGCCTTGCACATGCTTGACCTGGGTTTGTTCCCCAGCTCCCCATATGGTCCCCTGAGCTTGCCAGGAATGATCCCTGAGCAGAGATCCACGAATAAATCCTGAGCACCTCTAGGTGTGACCCCAAAACCAAAATACTAACTGTAATATTCCAGTGCTTACTGATGCCTAGATATTGAAACAGATTATTCTGGTCTTGAGAAAACTAAATGTAGCATATGGAATTAGGGATTGGAAGCAAATAACAATTGCTATTTCAGAGACAAAGCAGCTGTGAAGTATCATGTTCCCATGAGATATTTGTGATTCTATCTTTTTTTGTTGTTTCAAAATTTGGTCAACACAGCCCAAGGTCCCAACTGGGCGATTCTAGTTGTCACTCTTGGTATAAGGCCCTTGGTTTCATTGAAATGCCTTTGTATTGAGCCTTCAGAACCAAACAGATGCACTCATCTTATGCTAGAGAGGCCCATAGTTAGTGCCCAGAGACTACTAAGTTAACGTCTGAATCACAGAGCAAACAAAAATAGCATCTGCTTCCTTTTCACTTACGTTTGGCAATAGCTGTGTAAGTTGTGTCCAGGTGTTCAGCCCTTTTGAATCCCTAAATCCCTTATATTCTGTTCTCTGTCCTTTCTATTAAGCTTATGAAAGGGGTGGTCATGAGAGCCAGCATTCATGAAGCATCTGCTGTGTTGGGCTAGATTCTTGAAGTCATTATTTAATACTCACACTAGCTATAGGAGATAAGTACTGATTGTTAATTCCAGAGGAGCAAAGTAAGCCTGAGAGAGATTAAATAACTTTAACTCAGGTTTCTCTGTTGTAATTATAATAGAAGTATAAGTTGATGTGTTGGTCTCCCCCGCCCCCTCAGATATCAAACCGAGGTTACTTTTTTTCTCCTCCTTTCCTGTATCCTTTGTAGTATTGGTTTTGTGACTCTGGGAGGGAAAATTGATTTCTAGACTGCCTTCCTTATGGTGTGATGAGACCCTGAGTCCTAACCATTCTATTCATGACTCCTCTCAGGGTCCTATCCTTCCCCCAAAGCTGGAGCAACTCTGGTCGTATACAAGGACTTGCTGGTGCTGTTTGGTGGCTGGACGCGGCCAAGCCCATATCCCCTGCACCAACCAGAGAGATTCTTTGATGAAATACATACTTACTCTCCCTCGAAAAACTGGTAAGACATAAAGATAAGTTTCTTTACATTGGAAATAAAATTCATTGTATTTATTTTATTTGGGGTAGGTGGGGGCTTTAAGCGGTGCTCAGGAGGCCTGAGCCAGAGCCAGAGGCTGTGATGCTGCTCAGATCACTCCCAGAGGGACTTGGGGCCTCCAGGGCTGGGGCATAGACCCTGGGCTATGGGGAACCAGACCCACATGGCTAGACTATCACCTGGCCCCTGACGTGTTTTAAATGGATGGACTCGTTATTTTCTCTGTGTGTCCAGAAATCTCCGACAATTTGATTGATGAGAACTATGAACTTTTTTTCCCTAAGGAGAAATAATTACATATGCGCAGATTTTTACGTAGTGGTGTTTTTTTCCCCCCCTCTTTGGATCACACCCAGAGATGCACAGGGATTACTTCTGACTCATGAACTCAGGAATTACTCCTGGCAGTGCTCGGGGGCCATATGAATCAAACCTGGGTCAGCAGTGTGTAAGGCAAACGCCCTACCCGCTGTGCTATCGCTCTATCCCCTTTTGCCTACTTTTAAAGTGTTAGCTGGTGCAGTACCCTCAGAACCAGAAATTACCCTTAGTTTGAAGAAGACATTTTCATCTCTTCCTTGAAAAATGAGCGATCCAGATGAAGAACAAGGTTCTCTTTAGTTTGGCTTCTAATACCCCAGTTGTAAATTATCATGATTCCTTCCTTCCTACTGTTGTCCTTAACACTGCATATTTTTCAAACCCGTCATTTGTTTGCTAATCATTTTTTGATTGACACCAATGCTTGGACTAAATTGGGACTTTGAGCTGTACTAATCAGGATCATAGAAAAAAAGTGGAGGTGGTATGCCTTTAGCAAGCAAGGCCAGAGCCCACAGCAGCCACGATAGAAACCCTTTTTCGTCTTCTCAGCTCTCCACTCTACCTCCGCGCCAACACATACTTTGAGAATTTGCAAGCGAATGTGGCCTTTCTGTTGGTTAGTTTGTTTTGTAGTTTTGGGCCATACCTCACCCATTGTTCTGGAGGCTGCTGCGGCTCTCTGCTCTGAGGTCACCCCCTGTGGTGCATGGGAACGTATGATGCCAGAGATCCAACCAGGGTTGCCCGCATGGAGCACGAGTGCTTTCACCCCCGTACTATCTCTCTGGCCCTGGAAGTGAGTGTAGCTTGATCAGGATAATAGAAAAGTCGTGAATACCTTAAGTTGTCTCCCCCACCACTGCTTTTGAGCCTTACTGGAATGTGCTCAAGATTTATTTCTCTTCACTCAGGAATCATTCTTGGTTGGGGCATAGGAGACCATAAAAAGTTCTGGGAATAAAACCGGGGTTACAGCATGCAAGGCAAGAATCTTACTCGTGGTACCATTTCTCTCGCCCTTACCCTTCCTTTCCTAACCTGTCCTGTTATTAGCAGTTTGTCTGTATGGAAGATGATAAGATTATCACTTCAGATGGGTGCCTGGGCTGGAGAGAAAATAAGTAGTAAGGTGATAGTTTGCATGAGGCCAACACAGGTTTGAGCCTGAGTACAGAACCATGGGTAAGCTGCCCCAAATTTGAAGGAAAAAAACAAAAAATGGATACCTATTTTAGTTTTTCCACTTGAATATATAAATGGACCAGAGAGAGAGAGTACAATAGGTAAGACATTTGCCTTTTATGCAGTTGACCCCAATTTGACCTCCAAAGCTGCATATTGTCAGTACTGCCAGGAGTGATCCCTGAGTAAGCCAAGAGTAAGCCCTGAGAGTTGTCAGGTGTGACGTGTGTGTGTGTGTGTGTGTGTGTGTGTGTGTGTGTGTGTGTATTTTATTTGTGTATAAGTTGCTGACTTCTTGGCTTCCCCTTTTCTTTCAGGTGGAACTGTATTGTGACCACCCATGGGCCACCTCCCATGGCCGGCCATTCCTCCTGTGTGATCGATGATAAAATGATTGTCTTTGGAGGCTCCTTAGGATCTCGGCAAATGTAAGCAGATTTGGTTTACTCTGTCTGTGTCACCTTGAAGGTCGATATTTCTGAGAATAACAGATCATAAAATTGAGTGAGGGGTGGGGAGATAGCTCAAGGTACCTGGAGTTCAGTTCCTATTACTGCGTAGCCCCTGAGTATTGCCAAGTAATGGCCCTGGTGGCCCCCAGGTACCACCAGGCCTGAGCAGCACCGAGCCTCTGGACCTGAGCACCAAACCACCAGGCCTGAATTGCCGGGAATGGCCCTACTCACCCCCAACTCTGTTGGGTATGACTCTTCTCTATAATAATAATAATAATAATGAAAATAATCATTTTTAGGGTAGAGAGATAGCATACAGGACTCGAGTAGTTGCTGCATATGGGAGGCTGGGGCTGGCACCACATTGCTCTCCAAGCACTGCTATGTGAGAGCCCACTCTGCCAGGGTGGCCCTGGGACCCGAGGAGCAGTGCATCCTCAGGCCCCAGCGTTGAACCACTGGCCCAGTAGTCAAAGAGTTCCCAGGAGTGGTCCCCAGGCCCTAGTTCCTTGAGCACAGCTTGGGGCACCAGCTAAACAATGACCAAAAAAAAAAAAAAGTGGACTGGAGGATTGTACAGCAGGTAGGATGCTTGCCTGCCTGGGTTCAGCCACCATGCAACCCATGTGATCCTCTGAGCCCTCTGGGAATGATCCCTGAGCACAGAGCCAGAAGTAGGCTCTTTCTTAAGCACAGCCTAGTGTGCCCCTCACTTAAAAAAAAAAAGAAGAAGAAGAAAAAAGATGCTGAAGAGATAGGTAGTACAGAAGATTGGGCACTTTCCTTGCCTGCAATCACTTTAACAGTGGCCCTGATTCAATCCCTGGCACCGCACTTTGGTCCCCTGAACACCTTCAGGCATCACTCCTGACTACAGTGCCATGGGATATGCTCTAACTTCCTGCCCAACCTCCCCCCCCCACACTCCCCCCTCCCCTCCAAAAAAAAACTAAAAAAATGTAGCTATTTTTGAACATACTTTTTCTTTTTTTTTGTTTTTGGGGTCACACCCGGCGATGCTCAGGGGTTACTCCTGGCTCTGCACTCAGGAATTACTCCTGGCGGTGCTCGGGGGACCATGGGATGCCGGGGATTGAACCCAGGTTAGCCTCATGCAAGGCAAATGCCCTACCCACTGTGCTATCCTGAACATACTTTTAATTAATCCAGTTACCTCATCCTTGCATTCCATTTTCTGATCACCTAGAAAATTAAGCTGAAAGACTTTCTCCACAAAATTAGGACTGTGTGGAGAATCTTTTGGTCCCTGATTTTCAGTGGGATCAAATTCTGGTGGCACTTCCTATTTCTCCCTGAGTTTAAAAAGGCCACATTCTTTTTTTTCTTTCTTTTTTTTTTATTAGTGAAACACCATGAGGTACAGTTGTAGACTTACAAACTTTCGTGCTTGGGTTTCAGTTATACAATGATCAAGTACCCATCCCTCTACCAGTGTCCATTCTCCACCACCAATGATCCCAGTATCCCTCCCACCCCCCCACCCCCATCTCCCCCATCCCACCCCGCCTCTGTGGCAAGGCATTCCCATTTGTTCTCTCTCTCTTTTTGGGTGCTGTGGTTTAGAAAAGAGGCATTGAGTGGCAGTCATGTTCGGTCTACAGTACTTTCGGCATGCATCTCCCATCCTGGGAGGATCCTCCCAACAGCCTTTACTTGGTGCTCCCCTTCTCTGTCTGAGCTGCCTTTTTCCCTAGCATGTGTGGCTGGTCTTCAAGGCATGGAGTAAGCCTCCTGGTACTTATCTCACTATTCTTGGGTGTTAGTCTCCTATTTTGTTACTTTATATTCCCCAGATGAATTCACTCTTTCTATGTCTGTCCCTCTCTTTCTGACTCATTTCACTTAGCATGATACTTCCTATGTAGTACCACTCGTATGTAAATTTCATGACTTCATCTAAAAAGGCCACATGATCCAGTATGTGACCTTTGTCTTTTTCTTTTTGTTTTTGTTTTTGGGCCACACCCAGCAGTCTCAGGAATCACTCCTGGCGATGCTCAGGCGACCCTAGGGGATGCCAAAGATCAAACCCAGCTTGGCCGTGTGCAAGGCAAGCTCCCTCCCTGCTGTACTATCACCTCATCCCTCCAGCTTGTGCCCTTTAGAACTTTAGAGAAGGAGAGGGGTAAATTGACAGGATAAGGCCTATGGTTTACTCTCCAAGTGGGTTGAGGTGGGGGAATGAGCACTACACTGTCCTCCCGTTGTTCATCGATTTGCTCGAGCGGGCGCCAGTAGCATTTCACAACAAATTGTGAGACTTGTTACTGTTTTGGTCTTACTCAAACGTCACGGGGAGCTTGCCAGGCTTTACCGTGTGGGCGAGATACTCTCGGTAGTTTGCTGGGCTCTCGGAGAGGGACAGAGGAATCAAACCCGGGTCGGCCATATCAGCCGCGTGCAAGGCAAATGCCTTACCCACTGTGCTATCGCTCAAAGAGGTAATATATGTAAAAGAATTTTGAAAGCAACACTAAAAATTATTATGAATACTATTAAAATGATCATTTTAGATCGATATCGAAAGCTAAGTCAGGTATTATAGTCAAATCAATATGCAATGATTGCATCTTACTGTTTGTTGAACTTCTTGCAAAGCTCTTAACAACAAAACTGAAAGTATGCTCTTTGCCCCAAATCAAGTGTTCAGTGTTCTCAGTGCTTTTCATTTTTATAGTAAATATATCAGAAAATATTGAGAAAGCTTAACCTTTGCTTCTGCCTTTGTTACAAATATTTACTAGGGCAGAATTTCATCATAATAATATCTTTGCAGAAGATTTTTTTTAAAGTTTGAGGGTCTTAGTGTTTTATTTTTGGCATTTTTATTTTTGGGCCACACCCAGTAGTATTCAGAAGCAGTAGTATCCAGTAGTATTCAGAATGAGAAAAAGCAAAAATCCTGTTCTAATATGCTTCTGTGAGGGTTTTCTTCCATCCTCTGGCCACAGTTGACTAGATCGACCACAGTCCAGTGCCAGAGCAATTCTGTGAATGTCTGTCTCTTAGACTCAGTAAGAGTGGCCATGTCCTTGCAGTCTGAAGAAACCACTCACGGCCCAAATCCGTTTTCCTTTTTTCACTCTCCACCTGTCTCTTTGTACACTTTGTGGATAATCTCTTGAGTCATCCTCTATATGATAGGGTTTGGGATTTAAGGTGCTTGATGTGTGAATAAATGACCTTCAGGAGGTGACCCTGAAATAAGAGAAACTGCAATCTGGGGTCATCTTTGCTCTGCAGCTCCTAAAAAGGCTGAAAATGTCAATTTGTCCTTGATAAAACTATAGCTTTCATTAGCCTGATGAAATTACTTTCTGTGGCCAGAATTTTTATGTCCTGGATAATGCTAGAGGGTTTGTTTCTTTTTGGCTTTTTTTTTGGGAGGGGGGGATAATTTCCTCCCCACCCCCATAGTTTTTGCTCTTGAAAGACTTGATCTGCACCTATAGTCATTTCCTGCTGTCACCAATGACTTTTTTGTTTCTTTTTGAGGAGGGGGCATAGCCAATTGTGCTCAGGGACTGTCCTGCCTCTGTGCTCTGGGATGATCCCTGATATCCTGTAGTTTGGTACCATGGATTTAAACTTGGGATGGCAGCTTGCAATGCCTTATCTTCTGTACTATCTCTCTGTTTTTGTTGTTGTTGGTTTGGTTTTGGGGCCACACCCTGGCAGTGCTCAGGGGTCACTCCTGGAGGCCTTGTGGGACCATATGGAATGCTGGAGATTGAACCTGGGTTGGCTGCATGCAAGGCAAATGCCCAACCCATTGTACTGTTGCTGCAGCCCCCAAATGTAATTCGTTTGTTTTAGCTCTTAAGGTTTAAGTGGTGCTCCTAGCTTCATCCTAGCATCTTTGTCTTACAGGAGCAATGATGTCTGGGTTCTTGACCTTGAGCAGTGGGCCTGGTCCAAGCCGAACATTTCCGGCCCCAGTCCTCATCCTCGGGGCGGCCAATCTCAGGTGTGCAGTCATTAAGATAACTGTTCAGTACTCTGTAGCATCTCTCTGTTAGGACCTGAGAGGGAAGAGGGAGTCAGGTAAGATGCCATCATGCATAAATAAACCAGAGAATTTATTGTTCTTTTGTGCTGGTATTTCTTTTTCAACCTCTACTGGATTGTATTTACCTATAGTATATTTTATTATGCCTCTCCCAAAGCACTGCTGTTTCACTTCTCAGGAGAGCTCTGACCGGTGTGCATGTTGATAATTTGATGAACAAAAATCGCATCTGTTCAGGTGCATCAGTAATTCGTTCACAAGGCTCTGAATTGGCCTGGTTTGGGAGAATGGAGAGCGTGGGGTTACTTAAGTGCTCTCATTTGGGAGTTGGGCAGATTAGGCTATTTTCACATACCACTGGGGGCCGGGAGGTCAGGTACCTGTGTTTCTGTCAGCTTATTTTCTATTTCTTTCTCTCTCCAGATCGTCATAGATGATACAACTATTTTAATCCTCGGAGGTTGCGGCGGCCCCAATGCTGTGAGTAGGGGTGGCATACAGCCCCCTGCATGTGCTGATTACCGTTTTTACAAGACCATTTTTGTGATATTTCATTTAGAGAGTGCACTTCCCACCTTGGCGAAGATGTAGGGCAGTGGTTTGTTCTGAGTTCTTATTTTTACAGAGTTTGCTTTAAATCTGAGACATTTGTCTCTTAGTCTTTGTTCTTCTCCTACTCTCTTGATTTGCTGCCATTTCTCTTCTTTTTTCTTTCTTTCTTCCCTCCCTCCCTCCCTCCCTCACTCTCTCTTTCTTTTTTCTTTCTGCCTTCCTTCCTTCCTTCCTTCCTTCCTTCCTTCCTTCCTTCCTTCCTTCCTTCCTTCCTTCCTTCCTTCCCTGTCTTTCTTTCCCAAGGAGGGGTAAGGCTAAAAAAAGCAGTGCTACCTGCCAGAGTTCACCTGGAATTTTAAAATGCAGGATCAGAAAGTTACAGACACATATCATCTGCCCTCCTCTCCTCTTCCAATTGAGGCATGCCCCGCACACACACACCACAGGCAGAACTCAGAACCACTTAAAATTTGGAACCACTTGATTCTTGTCTCTCTCTCACACATACACATAGCACAGTTTCATGTGTCAGGCCATTGGCAATATATGAATAAATGAAGACATGAACAAATAAGCAAAGATTTTGCTTTTCTTTCTCAAAAGTCTGTAGACTCACCATCAGACAGCACAGCTTTGAGAGTTCAGGTCTTTGTGTGTCTTCTCACCTTCCTGACTTGTTACTGGTCCTTCTCTACAGCTGTTCAAGGATGCCTGGTTGCTGCACATGCATTCAGGTCCCTGGGCCTGGCAGCCTCTCAAGGTCGAAAATGAAGATCACGGGGCTCCAGAGCTCTGGTGCCACCCTGCTTGTCGGGTAAGCGGCCAGCGAAAGGCAGCAGGAGAGGTCCTGAAGGCCAGATCGGCTTAGATTTCTGATACAGCAAGTGTGTGTGGAAGTAGAAAATACTGCGGTATTTTTAGAAGTAGAAATTATCCCAAAAGAAGTCGACATTAAGGTTAAAGAGATAGAACAGCGGGGTTGGGCACTTGCCTTGCACGTGGCCGACCCAAGTTTGATCCCCAGCACCCCATATGTGTCTCTAGCCTGCCAGGTGCAAGCCCTGAGCGCTGAGCCAGCAACAGGCCTTGAGCACCATCAGTTGTGGGCCCCATTTCAAAAAAAAAAGAAAAATTGAACATTAACTGTAGCTTTTAGACTTCGCCCTTTCTCTTTATTGTGATACTGGGGTTGTGTGTGCCCACCTGTGTCACTAGCACATTTTTGGTTGTGGTGCCTCTGTATGTGCTCTCAGGGCCATGCTCTTAGTTGAGACTCTCAAGGTGGCTGTGTGTTCCTGGAAGGGGGGTCACTGTGGTGTTCACACAAGTGTGTACACAGCCGGGCCGTGCTGCTCATCGAGAGTCACACCCCTTTTTGTGATGTTTCTGTATGCCTGGCTACAGGGCAGCTGGAAATCACTTGCAGTGCCACATGAGGGAACCACAGACAGCTGAGCTGCCAGGGTCGTGCTCGGCACAGGTGGAACCCCAGGGACTTGAACTCAGGACCATAGGCTTGAAATGCAGGCTTTCCAACCTCTGATTCCTGTATGCCCTGACCATCATTTCTCACGTGTTTCCCGCTAGATAAGAAGACTTAACTTGGGCCAAACAAAAACTAGCTCCTTTCTCCACTGTAAGTGATAGCACGTATCACGTTACAGCAACTGATTGTTTCTGTGTATGCCCTGCTCCCAACCTACTGGCCAGAATATATTATGTCCATCTTCCTGTCTCAGTTACCCTCAAAATGCCTGGCACATCCAGACAGATGCTCATTATAAAATGTTTGAGGACTCGCGAGACAGTATGGGGGTTTCAAAGCTTTCCTCGCTCATGGCTGAGCTTGGTTAAATCCCCGGCACCCCATAGAGACCCCCTGAGCACTTCCAGGAGTGATCCCTGAGCACGGTCAGGAGTCAGCCCTGAGCACTGCCCGGTGAGGCCCCAAACACCTGGGTGTGGGTTCCCCCCCACCCCTAAGTAAATAAACAAAGTGCTCGGATGAGTGGTCAGAACTGAGCCCAGAACATTCTCTCTTCCAGGTGGGGCAGTGTGTTGTGGTCTTCAGCCAGGCTCCTAGTGGGAGAGCCCCACTCAGCCCAAGTTTGAACTCTCGCCCGTCACCCATCAGTGCCACTCCTCCGGCCCTGGTTCCTGAAACCCGAGAGTACCGCTCTCAGTCTCCAGTCCGGAGCCTGGAGGAAGCCCCCTGTGTTAACGGCCGCTGGGGAACGCTGCGGCCCAGGGCTCAGAGGCAGACCCCCTCGAGTTCCCGGGAAGGGAGTCTGTCCCCGGCCAGAGGCGACGGCTCCCCCGTCCTCAACGGTGGGAGTTTGTCTCCAGGAACAGCGGCTGTCGGTGGCTCTTCTCTGGACAGTCCTGTGCAGGCCATCTCTCCCAGCACCCCGTCTGCCACCGACGGCTATGAGCTGAAGATCGGCCTCTCTCTGGGCCCCCGGCGTGGCTCACTGCCAGATCAGAAAGATCTGAGGCTAGGCTCCATTGATCTGAATTGGGATCTGAAACCCACCTCCAGTAGCAATCACACGGACAGCGTGGACAGCAGGACAGGCGGGGGGAGTGTGAGACACCCTCCCGAGCAGACGAATGGTGTGCATACCCCGCCGCATGTGGCCAGCGCCCTGGCTGGAGCCGTCTCCCCAGGGGCCCTGCGCCGAAGCCTGGAAGCCATCAAGGCGATGCCCGCCAAAGGCCCCTCGGCCTCTGCGGCTCTCAGTCCTCCACTGGGGTCTTCTCCGGGCTCCCCCGGGAGCCAGAACCTGAGCAGTGGAGAGACCGTGCCCATTCCTCGCCCGGGGCCTGCCCAAGGAGATGGACATTCCTTACCTCCCATTGCCCGCCGCCTGGGCCACCACCCACCACAGTCGCTAAACGTTGGTAAACCCTTGTACCAGAGTATGAACTGCAAGCCCATGCAGATGTACGTGCTGGACATTAAAGATACTAAGGAAAAGGGGAGGGTCAAATGGAAAGTATTTAATAGCAGCTCTGTGGTCGGGCCGCCTGAAACCAGCCTGCACACAGTGGTACAAGGCAGGGGCGAGCTCATCATATTCGGAGGACTCATGGACAAGAAACAGAATGTGAAGTACTATCCAAAAACAAACGCCTTGTACTTTGTGCGAGCAAAGAGATAATGTGCTCTGAACCTGTTTCCCTTTTTTGTGGCTTTTAATTTGAAGTTTCCAGTGCATAAGCATTTGGACTGAGAATTGGGAAAAATGAAAGGACAGAATTACTCTCCCATAAACCAAAACCCCAATTCCCAGCTCACTCACTCTAGGCTGGGATCAAATCTCCATTAAGAAAGAAATTATATATAAATATATAAATATATATTATATAGCCAACTCTGTTTACAAAGAGGGAGAGATCTCCGTCCTGGTTCAGATAAAGGAAAAAAAATGTTGCTGTGTTTTAGCAGAGGCTGTGCTGCCTTTTTCTACTTTGCTGGTAACTAGACCAAGACTTTTCGGGAACAGATCGCTATCCGAACTTTCCTCAGTAAACTGAAGAGCCCTCTGTAAATCTCTGTGTGGCCTTCTCAGAGTTAGGAGAAGGAAAGGGCCTGAGTGTGTAGAGTGCACAAGTGGAGGATTCCGATTTCACAAGCTTTAGGTGCTGGCAGGGTAAAAGTCACTTTTAGGAAACTGTCCTTCCCTTTCTCTGCAAACTAGAGGACCTCTTTGCGGCCGTGCCCTCACCTGGCCCCGTTCTGCCGTTCCTGTCTGAGGAGCGACACACAGCTAGGGAGAGTGTCTGTGCCAGGATCATCGTGACACCTTGTTTCTGTAGCAGTGCCTGTCCACCTCATGTCTCTTGGTCTTTGGAATGCTCCCTCCATATGTCAGAAAATATTTTGTTGTCTACGTGTGGAATTTTTCTGAAAACTCTATTTTGGTTGCAAGTTGCCAAAATCCACATTTGTTTTCTTTTTTACTTCCTTTCAAACTTGAGTCTCAGAGGCTTTTTTCCATGTATTTCTTCCTTCCCCTTCTTTCCTGTCCCCTCCCCTCCTTAAAACCTTTCTCATTTCTTTTTTCTTTCACAGAATGCAGGTGCCCAGAGAAATCTCTTGGAAATACCTCTGGAACCCTTTTTCTAGTGTTACTATGGTGAGAAATCCTTGAAGCATCTAAAGATACTCTGCGGGCTGCTTTATACTTGGAAACGCGTTGGGCACATTCATTATGTTAGTAGAACGTAGAAATTGACCCAGAAAAAAAATTCCATCAACATTTCCTTCAGGAAATTATTTTTCTCCTTGTGACATCCATTTTTTGGGGAACCTGGCCCTTGACTGGTGATTGGGGTGAGAATTTTGTGTGCAGCCTCTTGGCTCCGAGGCTGCCCTCAGAAGCTGCACTTCCCCGTGTGTCTCCCAAACAAGGCTTGGGTTGTCGACTTTCACAACCTGTCAGAGAATTTCATGAGTCGATAGAGCGAGTAACAAGTTAACCAGCCTCTAAATCATGGCCCGGGCATAGGAGACCTCGAAAGAAGTCAAATGGTATCCCTCAAATGTGGATTTTGGCGATTACTCCTAAGTAGAAAGAGGTGGTGGTTTTCAGTTTTGATTTTGCCTCATGGATCTGAAGTTTAAAACATCAGTTTCCATCCCCATCTTCCTCTTTTTCCTGCTCGCCTTTCCCAAGCACAAGCTGGATGCAGCTGGCCCTGAGTCCTGGCCCTCGGCCAGCTCTTTGCCGGCTGTCTGATAAGCGTGTTTTCTCTTGTTACATCATGTTGAATCCTTTCCCCGAGTCGGTAGCTTTTCACAGTGCGGTCTTGGTGGGAAAGCCCCCCTGGTGCCAAGCACAGGAAAGGGCCGGCTCCCGGGGAGGGATCCGTGTTCCATAAGCGATTGTACGTGCTCCCTCAGCGGAGGAAACTGCCGCGTGCCTCTTCACGATCGTGTCCAGCCGCTTGTAGTTGAGCGCTGCGCTTTCCCGGTCCCTGTTCTGGGGGCCGTTGTGAGTCCTTTGGCAAAGACTGTTAGCTCACGTGGGGTCCGTTTTTATAAAGAGAAAGCTAGCCCAGAAGATTAGCGAAGTGGACCTCGCTGCTAACGCCGAACCCTGTTTGTGACGTTGCATTTGTGCATGGACCGTGCCTCCAAACTCACTTCCTGTTTGACTATAAAGTATTTGGAAGCCTGAGGAATCAGATGCGTAACTTCGTCTTGCCCTTTGCCCCGTGGTCTTCGTAAGCCAGCTGTTCCCTCGTGGATCCCTTCTGCTTTCCTCAAGGAGGCAGGCCAGAGAGATGCTGGTCCTCCTGGCAAGTTCCCAGCCGAGGCCTCAGAACCCCAGTATTGCCCACCCCTCTCAGAGACAGACTGTCCGTTGACAGCCTTGGAGGAAACTCTGCCCTGTGTGCAGCTGGCGGTGTCCGTCTTGGTGGCTCCCGGGGGCTATGGCCATGGCTCTTGGGAGCGCAGCAGACCACAATCCAGGTGACTGTTTCCTCAGCAGCCTCGGTTTGTCTTCTGAGGCGAGCGTTCCCCGGCAGAGCAGACTGCGCCCTGACTCCCGTTTTGACACGATGCCAATTTTGTCTTAAAATTCACTGGGGGGAAGAATTAGACAAAATGTTATTTTAAGCCCTCAGGAGCTCCTAAAGCAAATATATATATCAGTATTTAAGTATTCCGAATGCATTTTGTTTCTACTTGAAGCTTTAACCCCTTCCATTAGCCCCTGCAAGTGTGCCTTTGAGAGCCCCCCCATGTCATCCCGACCTCACCAGCCGCCTCGCTGACCTCCTGTGAGAACTGTAACCTCTCTCCCCTCCTCACTAGCACCTCTTGTTTCACTCCTTTTGCAGGCTGTGCAGCAGAAGGTTCGATGTTTCCCGTTTGTATTCTTTCCCTTCTACAGTTAGGTGGGGTGGGGCGCCTCTGCCACCCTCCCCCCACACTAAGCATTTAAGCGAGCTTAAACTTACATGTAAGGCAATATTGGACTTAACTCTTCCCAGTCCTCTGCGGATTGACATTGAGTTTTATATCGAGCGCTGAAATCGTGGCCTATCCTAGGAACCGTGTTGGGACTCTTAAGATATGAAAGAAGAAGAAAGGAAACCAGCTTTAGAAGTCTGGACTTTGGAAGACAGAAAGTCACCCACTGATGGAGAACAAAGGGACGCTTCCCTTTCCTTTCACTTGATCTTTCCGGATTTCCTTCTGCCTTGCTTCTTTCCTCCCCCTTCCCCCCCTCCCCCAAAAGTGATTGCTCCTGTTTGTTTTGTCTGTCAGTCCTTGTCCTTGTGGTGATCCTGGCATGGTGAAAACGCTCTGCTTTGCATTATCTGTGGTCTGGTACCAGTGCACAAGTCAGTGAGGGAGGATCTGGACATACCCAGGGGCAAGGACATGGAGTTCCAAGGCCTCCGTCCCCTGCAGCCTCCCCGGAACACCACAGAAGGCATGTTCTGCATGCTATCCTGGAAGTGGCTCATCTCCCCTCGATCATGGTCTGACAAGACTCGCCCTTAGGTGTTGGTTCCGTCTCTCCTCTCTCCTCACTCTCCCCTCCCGCCAACCAGGGGTCCTGTCAGCGCACGCCGTGTGCCCTGGCAAAGCTGGTGCTGTGAGTGATGTCCCCTCAACAACTCAGGAGTCCCGGGAGACGTACCCTGAGATGATCATTTTAGGCACATAACAGTGTAGGAATGAAAAGTGGATTTCACTGATATTTAAATCTGTTGGTTTTTTTTTTTTTTTGGTTAATGTTTTCCCCTCATGACTTTTTAGCAATTTAACAATAAAACAAAATGGACAGACTTGTCTGAGTTGTCTGATTAGTTGAAAAGAAAGCAAGCCGTGATAGCAGTTGGAATTGGAGGGGGCAAGGTAGTTGGGGAGGACTGGAGTGATAGGACAGCCCGTAGGACACTGTCTTTGCCTGTGGCAAACTCAAAACCAGGGTGTGAGTCTCTGAGACCCCACAGGGTCCCCCAGGCCCACCAGGAGTGGTCCCTGAGCACAGACAGAGCCAGGAATAAGCCCGGACTGCAGCCGGCTATGACCCCCAAATGAAAAAACAGTATTTGGGAAGAGAATCCTTCCTGTCTAGGAAGGCTGTGATTCCTGGTAGGGGCGTGGCAACTGCCCTTCCCAGCCACCAGTGCCATTCACTAGTGAAGATGCGCGAAGAACTGGGTGTTTCAGAACCTCAGCGCCACCTGCTGTGTAGACACGAGAGACACAAGGGACTTAGAGCAGAGGCCCCAGGGTCAGGATGACACCCATGCTCAGTGGACACGGCCCAGCATCTCGAAAGGACAGTCGCACGTGGCGGTTGGCAGCAGACCTGATGCCACAGAGAACCAGAACCATGCGTCTAACACTGCTTCTTCTGCATAGTACTTACCTTCGGGGGGCTGGGGAGATTGTTCAGCTGGTCAAGTGATTGCCTTGCCCTTGACCGACCTGGGTCCAGTCACAGGCATTGCATATGGTCCACCACCAGTAATCCCTGAGCTGGGTGTAGCCCCTCAGACAAAAAACCCAAAAACACCTAGTGCATATATTCTGCCTGGATTCAAGGGCAGCTTTAGTCTTTAGACTTCCAATCTGGGAGGGTCATTCGCAAATGGAGCTCATGAGTCTGCCTACCCTCCCACCCCCTCACCCCTCACCCCCGACATAAGAACCAGACTTCCCAGAGCCGGGGCGGGGGGGGGGGGGGGGTTGTTCCAGCCCTCAGTCCACTTTCTGAGTATCTTGCCAGTTTCCTATGCCCTGGTTATGTGTGTTCTGTCCCATTAACATATTTTCTATTAAGCCCCACTGAACCCCCCTACCCTGTTGCAGGCTCAGGTGCTGTGGACCTGCAGAATCGCATCTGCAAATTTGTATTCCCCAAGCTGCAGGGTGAAATGCAAGTGAAATTTACCGGTAAAATGCTATCTCATTTCAATAGCTTGCAGTTCCTTTGAGGTGCTTAATAGAGTGTGGTCTGAGAAAGGGTCTTGGGTACAAAGCTCCCCCTTGCCCTTCCCTTCCCCCACCCTGCCGCTGGCAACTATTGAGTTGTGACATTAGGGAAAAGATGATTTCCATTGGACTTGCTCCTTATGGGGCTGGACCAGGCCCCAAGGGCAGAAGCTTCAGGGAAGGGACCTCAGGGTCACAGGGAAGGACTTTGTCATGGTGAGAGCTGGAACAGTGGAGCCAGTTGAGCGACCCTGGAGGAATTCAGGCATTGCCTGGACAGATCCTCTCTGGGATAAGAACCAGTACCATGCAGTGGGGGTTGGGCGGTCCTGCGTGAGATCTTGGCATGTGGAGGAAGACCACAGGCTTTAGGGAGGCTGAGACCTGTGGGGCGCCCCACCCCCAGCATCCTGACAGGACACTGATGGGCATGTTGCTGCCCTGGGGGGCATGTTGTGAAGCGGGGGAGCCTGCCCCAGGTCCCAGATGTGTGGGAGTGGAGATTGGAGGTTACCACCGGGAGAAGCCTTAATGTCAGGGAGAAGCTCAGGGAAGAGCCATGACTCACCTCAGGCCTTGCTGCAGCTGGCAGCCTAGCACGGGCCTCCCAGCCAACCGCCCTTGGGACTGTGGCGCCAGAGGCACGTGCACCTGGACAGGGGAAGGATAACTGGTCTTTCTCCTCCCCAGCACCGGGCAGCTGTCAGCTGTCTCGGTGGAGGGCAGTGCAGGACTCAC